TTGTGCAGGGATGGAAGAGTGCTGGGAGTGCTGGAGGTTTCCCGCTCCATTGGGGATGGCCAGTACAAACGCTGTGGTGTTATCTCTGTGCCAGATATCAAACGCTGCCAACTCACACACAATGACAGGTAAAGTGTGCCCTAGCATGGGGGGCTCTCTGTCCCAGCTCTGCTCAGCAGGAGCTGCACAGCCCTGTTTGCTCTGTCATGAGAGCCAAGGCACTTCAGACTGATCCCTCCAGAATTAGAGAATGCTCTTACTGCTAATGTCTCTCTGCTTTCATTCCTTATCAGAACAGTGGGATAATGCTGCTGCTCTGCCAAGATACTCTGGAGGCTCCTCTTGGAGGAACCAGCCTCATAGCAATAGCATACACAAGCCTTAGATGTCCTCTGTGCTCTGATTAAGTTCACAAACCAGTGTTCAAGCAGTTACTGAAGGCTTGAGTTCTTGGATTTCCATTCTGTCCAAGAGTTGTTTCTAGCAGCTGTAGTGCCCATAAATAAATACTTTTGCATTCAACTCTGATATTTGAAGATTTGAGATACTTTTCCATTATATGATTGGCAACAACAAATTGCAGTGAGCTTTCATGTCAGCCCTGCAGACTCTCAGAGGTGAGAGTGTAACCCAGTACTGCTGCTTTTTCTGGGATTAGAGTTCCATATCAAGTGATCCACTAAAATATTTCTACAGATACTCTTGAGTATCAGGCACTGAACTGATGTCTTCAGAGGCATGTGCAGACTGACCACTTCTATAGACTGGTTGTTATTTTCCTTCTCCTGGTGACTCTGTTTAGAGCTCCTGGTTAATAAAATTCCCTGTGCAGGCAGGAAGGGCACAGCAGGCTGTCTCCCCATCATAAGGGAGATGCTTGCCTTGGGATTTGTGTCTCCTCAACCTTCTGCAGCCGGTGGCAATATTTTGTGTCAGAGTTTTCTGATCACAGTTGTCACGTGCTTTTCTTTTGAACTTGCTTATTTAAATTACCACATACCTCAGGAGTGTAGAAATGTAAAGTGATGTACATGAGGGATTCAGCTTTGTTTCTCTATTCCCTTGCAGTAGCTGCTTTACAGGGAAGATACATTAATGAAAAGGACTCAAAGGAAAGAAGCAGTTCTTAGAGAAGCAACAGATCATTTGACCTTGCCATTGATCTTGCCAGTATTGTAGGACAGCCAGCATGTCCTGATCTAGGTCTTACATTAATTGCCTGGCTCTTTGTCCTGTATTTTGAATTGCCATGAATGGTAGGTCCCAAGGGGTTTTCAGATGAGCTTTTACAGCATGTATTCCCTTTGGATCTGAGCATGTATGTTCGTAAAATAAATTGGAGGGATTTTGCTGTAGCTGGGGAGCCAAAAATTCAGCCTTGGAATCTGTCTCCACTTGATTTGCAGGTTCATTCTGATAGCTTGTGATGGCCTCTTTAAAGTCTTTACACCAGAAGAAGCTGTGAACTTCATTGTGTCCTGCCTGGAGGTGAGGAGAAGGTGGCGTGGGGCTGGGTTTGTCAGTGCAGAGGGCATGAAATGGACTTGGCCAGAGTATCCTCCCTTATTCCCTAGGCTGTCTATATTTGTTTTGCTTCCCAATGCTTGGAAAATACAATGTCCCTACCTTTGCTGGGAGCAATCAAATTGCTTTGTGCCAACAGGATAAGAATATCCAGATGAGAGAAGGGAAGCTGGAAGCAGATGCTCGGTATGAGGCTGCCTGTAACAGACTGGCCAACAAGGCAGTGCAGCGAGGCTCGGCCGACAACGTCACCGTCATGGTGGTCCGGATAGAGCACTGAGGGACGAGGTGTGCTGGATGGAAGGGAAGGGAAGGGAGAGGTCTGTGTGCATGCACGTGTGGCTGGGGGAGGGTGGGTCCTGCTGGATGCTCTTCAGTGTAAATAAAGATGGTTTTTTTTCTACTAGGTTGAGCTCACTTAGTAGTAGGGTTGAGTGTCTTGGCAAACACAGTCAATTCGTTTGGTAGAGGGGCTAGCAAGAGGCATCCTGGGGATATGAGCCCTGCCAGCTCTTTCAAATGGGACAGTTCTGCACCATTTGTGCAAGACCCTGGCAGAGTCTGGAGTTCCAGGACTCAGTGGGAGCTCCTGACAGGCTGTACCATGCAGACTGATCTACTCTAGGCCACCCTGGGATGTGGGATGGGCTGTCCTCTTCACTCTGGGTAGGAAATCCTTCCACTGAAGCTGGGCTGTAAGGTTGCTTGCAGCTGAGGGACACAAACACCCCTTGCAGGGCTGCAGCATACCTGTGCTGTGCTTGAAGAACATGTTGAAGTTTTACCACAATGTTGGTATGAAAAAAGCAGCTGGAGTTTGCTCCTGATGTTTTGTGGTAAAAGTGTTTTCAGCAAGTGGACCTGTCAGGCAGCTGAGCTGCAGGAAGGCTCTGTGCTTGTCTGTGCTATCTGAGGAGAAGGCATCTCAGGTTTTAGGTACTAATAAGTGTCTGGTATCTCATCCTGTCTCAGTGCCTCTACCAGCTGTTGCTGCAGTCAGTGTGCTGTTTTCCAGAGAAAGTTTGGCTTAAGACCAAGTGACAGAATGAACACTAAATAGATTGGGCTACCTAAGCAGTTAAGTTTCCAGTTTCCACTCCGTGTGTGAGAGGGGCAGTGAGGGAGGTGAGCTGAGAGGTGTGCACTGTGGTTGCCTCCTTGCTCTGATGAAGCAGAGCTGTAGTCCCAGGGGAAGGGACCAAGGGCTGGGTGGTGCCCACTGCTTTGTGCAGGCTTCCCTGACTCCTTTCTGTTTTCTGTATCCCTGGAACTTTGGGAGATGATCCCAGCTCCTGGGCTGTTTGCTGGAGCACGATGGCTATCCTGTTTGGGACAGGTGGCTTGACCATCTTACTTCTGTTTCTGCTCCAACAGCAGTCAGTTACACTTCATGGGCTTAGTCTGAGGGTTAGCTAATGCAGCCTGCTGCACACTGACTCTCTGCATCTCCTGCACAGGACCGAGGCAGGAAGTGGCCCTCTGGCACAGCTTCTGGGCAGTGCTTCTCCTCTGCCAGCTTGTTCTGTGTATTTTGATGTAAGGTTGCAGTGCAGGATGAGCTGAGAGGGAATGCCTTTGTTAGCAGCACACTCTGCTGTTTCTACTCTTGAAAGGCAAATTTGGAGAGCCCAGACAGAGTAACATGGAGTTGCTTCTGTTTGTGGCAAAAGAAACTCTGATGGTAAATTTCAGAGAGGTAACTTGCTTTCCCTTTTCAGCTCCCCCTTTTTCCACCTCTTGCACTGTGTCATGCTGCAAGAGCTGAGCCATGGTCCCAGTTCAGGGGCTCCTTCCAGGAGGCCACTCTGAATTCCAGTGCAAGAGCTGGTGAGAGGAATGTTAGCTTGTCCTTCTCTGACTCTTGTCCTTCCCACTCCCAAATCTTACAACACTGCTTTTCTTCATTTTAGGAAAAATTCTGAAAGCACAGCTCCAGCTAGGATCAGAATATGGAGTGTTATGGTACAGTTAATTACCATGAAGTGTCAATTTTTCATGGCAAAGGGGAAAAGGAAGGAGCGGGTCTCATCATGCTTGGAAGTAGACAGCCAGGTAGAAAAGCAGGCTTAGCCTCAGCTGAAGTAGAAGTAAAAAACCATTTGGTTTAATTTCATGGTAAGATAGGGTCTACAGTTCCTGAAAAAGCACTCTCCTTGCCTCAGTGCTCAGCAGCATCCTGCTACTGAGGAAAGCTCCAGGACCACTCACTTCAGGGTGGCCCATGCACAAGTGCTCTGCATGCAGTTCTCTCCCATGGGGCTGACAGAGCTTCTGTCCCCTTCTAACACTTGAATTACCCTTTGAGTACTTCTGACTTAATCAGCTTTTTGAGTTTTGTGATCAAGTGCATTGGGCTCTTGGTATCTCATCTCCACAGGACAGCTCACAGCCGGGCAAGTTCTGCTTCCAGACACTGAGTCTTTCTCTGCCTTCTCAGGTGTGTGTAGTAGGAAGAGAGGCAGCTGATCAGAGCCAGGCTGCCTTGGCCCTTGGTGTGTGGGGACTGGGAGGTGCTGCCATGGCCAAGTTCTGTGGTTGGGCAGGAGCTGTGCCAGGAGGTTGCTGCCCACCTGATCAGCTGGAGGTGAAGCACAACGTGACTCTCAGAGACAAGTTCTCTTTGCTTTGGGAGAAGTCGGCATTGAGACTGTCCCCCTCCTCCCCAGACCCAAACACCCTACTCATAAATTGCTCCATTAACACCTCCTTCACCGGCTCCTTGAGGAGATGTGCGAAGGGCAGGCAGGGCCAGGGACACTCCTGGGAGAAGGTGGGGCTGGGTACAGCTCAGGCTATCTTGCAGTGTTGCTGGCACCACTTGCCCAGTACTCAGTGCTACTAGGAAATCAAACGCTGCCTTCCTGGTGCTTCTCCTGCAGCCCTGCCTTGGTCACGTAGGCCCGTGGCCATCCTCAGCTGAGCAGCTATCGCAGCCCGAGCACAGAGTGTATCTGTGCTGCACACGGCCAGGCCCTGGGCCACGGGCAGGGAGTGCCTGCTCTGGAAACTCACGGGACAGCAATTGCCTTTGATCAAATGTGTGGCACTGTTGGGACTTTGCTTTGGTGATCAGTGCAAAGGATGTTGGCTCCTGCCAGCAAACCTTCTCTGCTTGTACACTGCAGGGCAGCTAAAGCAATAGAGAATCTGGCCTGGGCTGCTGAGACTAAGTCTGGGCAGGGAAAGGAAGTCCACTAAGGGCAAAAATGGACACGTGGGGGGTTGTACCAGGCATGATGGGAGTGGAGCCTTAGGGAGAATGCAGCCATCTGCTGCCACTGTCACCAGTGTTTTCCAAGATAAACTTCTAGGCCTAGCCTTTAGATAAAAGTGAATGTCTTTGGGTCCTGATCAGGCTGCTTTATTATTATCATAATCTCCTTAATTATCTTTTGTCTATCTTCAGCTGGTTCTGCAGCACGAGCAGTATTGGACCAGACTGCAGTTCTTGCATGAGCAAATGTCTTCTTTAGGCTTGGTGCTGAGCAGGGGATGGTGGCTGGCAGAGGGAAGGGTCTGGCTGCTCCTGGCACAGGTTCAGCATGGTGCCTCTTCACACTCCCAGCAGAACAGCACTGAAATCGGAGCCACTTCGAACTGTGAGGGGAGAGCCTGCCGTGTTGTCCACGAAAACAGAGGCATACTGCCCAGCCTGGGGGAAGAGAGGGATTAGCAGGGCCAGGGCACCTCCCCTGGGCACCAGGCATGGCCTGGCAGAGCCAAGGAGAGAGCTCTCCCTGCACACAGCAACCAAGAGCTGGAGGAGCTGCCCCTACCCTTCCTTCTGGGAAAAGAGCAGCACAGGCCTTTAGGGCAGCCCAGTCACAGTCTGCTATAGTGCCCTAGCAGAGCTCTGCCCTGACTGTGTTTGGGGCTTGGAGGTCACCTGAGAAGAGAGCTGATGCCCGGTGCTGTCACCAGTGGAGCTGGCAGCACTAACCTGCAGGTACAGGGTGCCCATGACAGAGATTGTGAAGAGGTCACTGCTGCTCTCCAGCCGAGATACAGTCTCCAAATGGCTGCAGAAGAGGGAGGATAGTGGTGGGGGGAGCAGGTCCCACCTTTCCCAGGGCTGCTGGACTGCTTCCCCCTGCCAGGGTCCCTGGCCTTACCCTGCCATACCTGTTGTGCTGGCAGCGGGACTGCACACAGATCAGCACCCGCAGGCGGCTCTGTCGCCATCCCTGCCCCTTCCTCCGTGGCTCCCTGCGCGCTGTGACAGAGCAGAGGCTGAGCCATCCCGGTCTGCCCCTGCAGGGCCCTGGGGCTGTCTGAGGGGAGGGCTCACCAATGTGCAGCGTGGTGGTGAAGGCGTAGTATCCTGCAATGGGGGCTGTGTACTGCCCGCTGGTCAGGTTCAGCCCTGGGCCACGGTGGAACATGCCTTCCCTCTCAGGCTGGGATAGGGAATGGCTGGAGTTAGAGAAGGAGTCTCTGTGCCAGGGCAGGTGCCCTGCAGACAGGGAAAAGGGGCAGGCTGGGCACTTACAATGTAGAACAAGCCCAGCTCTTGCCACATCTTCTGCTCCACAGCAATGTCTTCAGACGTTTGGCAATGGAAAGCTGCTTCCACACGATGCTGGGCCCCGGCCTCGGGGCTGCCTTTGCTGCTTTCCTCCTTACACCCTTCCCCAGCTGTCCTGCACATCTTTGCCATGCCTGACCCCAAACCCCACCGGAGTTTGACATTAGGAAGGGAACCTTCACTTTTCTTGGCTCTGCTGCCCAGCCCTGCTTTGCCTTGTCCTGCTGTCCCCACAGCTCCCACCCTGGGTCCCCCACCCCGGTACCTCTGAGCAGGAGCTGCAGCTCCCTCAGCAGCTCCTCCGGCATCGTGGGGGAGGCCGGGGCAGCCGAGTTTGATTTTCCCGGAGAGCCGGCGCCCGCTGGTGCCGTGTGAGCCCCGGTCCTGCCGCGGCCCCGATCGGGGCTCCCGGCCAGCAGCATCCACGCCTGCCGGGGGTCCACGCGGGCCGCCCCGGGTACCCCACGTCCCACGGCTGCTCCCGGGGCCAGCGGCCGCTCCCGGGCTGCCCGCGGGGGTTCGGTGGCGGTGCCGGCGGCGTAGAGGAGCGCCAGGCACAGCTCCGGCAGCCGCATTCCGCCGCCGCTGCCGGGAGCGCCGCCCGGCCCCGCCTCGCTGCTGGGCTCTGCCCTCGGGGCGCGGGGACCTCCCCGCCGGTACAACCTCGGGAGATGCCCGCCCTGCGCCGGGGGCTCCTCAGCCCCCCGTGGTTTTAACGCTTCGAAAACTTTTAGGTGGTTTTTGGAGAGAGGAAAAGGTTATTTTAAAACCACAAACCCACAAACGAAGAGAGCATTAATCAAAGCATGTTTATAAGGAAGAGCCTTTTCCCTGCAGTGGTGGGGGAGAACATGCTCCTGGTGCCCCAGCCAGCCTGGCACAGGGCTTTCCACCTCTCACTCGGCAGTCTGCCAGAACAGGCAGCAGGAAAAAGGGAGCATGGATGCATAGGGTGGCAGGCATCATTGAGGCTCTCCTACCACCCATGGTCACCCTGGAAAGGTTCTGTCCACTTGGAGGTGTCCATGAAGATGGAGGAGGAGCTGTGGAAGAGCCAGAGACAGGGCAGGGAGCCCTCACACGTCCAGAGATCCTTGGTGCAGTCATACACCTCCATTTCTACTCGGTAGTCCCCATCCATACCCTTCCAGTGGCCACCAGTGACAAAGAGCCGGTCACCCAGGGCCACCATCCCACCGTTCTCATGAAGTGTGTGCAGGAGCTGCACCTGTGTGAGGGACAGGGTGAGATGTGCAGGGACCCCTTGGTGACCTCCTACTCCCACCACAGAGGACAGTGACCCACTAGATGTGTTTCTCTACCCATCTTTTCTTTCTGTGGGGTTTGGGGGCCTCTGGTGCCTTGTGCGTGTGTGATGGAGAGCAGGGGAGGAAGGAATGGGGCACCCTCAGCTCTGCAGGTATCAATAGAACTAAGGGATGAGTGGGTAGAAGGGAGAGGGGGTGCTGGCACTGAGGGGAAGCAGCTGGGAGCACCATCCCCATATCTCTGGGAGGCTGATCGTGCCTGGTCCCACATCCCACCTTCTGCCAGATGTTGGCCTCTGGGTTGTACACGTGGACCTTCTTGGTGTTATCCCCGATGAGGTAGATGAGCCCGCGCAGAGTGGCACAGCGTGGGGCTGAGAGGTACTTGGGGATGAAGGGAGATGTGATCACACTCCACAGATCTGCAAGGAGCAGTCATTAGCAGTGCATCCCACCCTTGGCTCGGTGCAGCTGCCAGTAGCTGAAAAAAGCACTGCTATTTCAGGGGGAATTTGAAAGGGAGGATGCAGACCAGCCAGGCAGACTGGCACCCCCAGTCCCCATCCCAGTCTATGGTCTTGCATAAAAAATGGTGGAGGGTGGGGACATGGTTTGTAGTGGTGTTCTGGGATGGGAAAGAGTCTCCTTGAGGAGATGGCATTGTCACAGGGTGTTAGTTTCTTCCTAAGGCAGGCAGCCTCCCCCACCCCAATGCCTCAGAGATTCCACTCCACCAAAGCTCAGGTCTAGGCTGTCAGACATCTGTGACTCAGGTCCATGCTGCTAACAGCCACACTCCTGGGGCTCCTGGGCCCTGTGTTAGCCATCACCACACCCTGTCATCACCTGCTCACATCCCACAGGACCATGCCTGGCAGTCCAGGGGGGGTCACCTGCCTGAGGATCCCCCTCAGTACCTTTCCCAGGGACAACACAGGTGGGGTGTGGCAGCAGGGTCAGCTCTTACCTTGAACAGGGTTGTAGCACTGCAGAGTGAGTGCGTTGTACTTGACAGCACAGGAGCCCACCAGGTAGAGTTTGCCCAAGCAGCTGGCAGCTGCAAAATTGCTCACGTACTTGGGGGCTGGGCTGATGGCACACCAGCTCTTGTTGTACGGGTCATAGCGCTCCACCTCCACCACATCCACTGTTGTCCCTGCAAGGGTGACAGGACACTGCAGCCACCCTGCTGCTCTGGGGCACCCATGGACCCCCACCCCAGCAGCACCCATAGGGTGTTCACAGCCTTACCCCCAATCACATAGATCTCCCCATTGAGGACAGCACTGGTGTGGTTTGTCCGGGCTCTCAGCATGGAAGCGATGGGCTTCCACACACCATCCCTGGGGCAGAAGCACCAGGCCTGTGTCGTTGACCATGTGTCATTCTGGGACCCCCGGGAGCCACCTAGAGAGAGACAGGTCAGATGGGCCACCCTCTCCAAGTGCAGCTGTCCCTGGATATTCCTTGCCAGTGGCCAGATTTGCCCAAGCAGAGTACAGAGAGGATTTTGCCCAGAGAGGAGCCGCTGGCCCCACACCAGTGCCTCATGTTCGTATCATTGTCCCCTGTCCTCCATCCCCCACCCTGCACCAGCAGCCCTGGCACTGACCTGTGACGTACACATCGTTGTTCAGAGCCACTAAGGAAAAGCCCCATTTGTTGTAATCAGGGAAGTCAGGCAGAGCCATCCATCGCCCTGGAACCCAGTAGAGCCAAGCAATGACCCCACAGCCAGCGATGGCACTTTTTAAGCCACCCGTTTCAAGCCCATCCCAACCCAACTAGTGTCTCTCCAAACTGACACTAGTTTGACAAGAGATAGCTTTGGGGTAGACATGGTCAATTAATGTGAAGGGAGGAGGAGGAACTGGGAGGCACCTACTGATTTTGGGGTTGTAGAAGGCAAAGTTCCTGGTGGCAGCTGGCATTTCCAGCCCCCTCTCCTCATCTTCATCCTCCAGCACACGACCACCAACAACCACCAGCACCTCCTCTAGCTTTTGTGGTGGGGTTGGGGGGTTCTTCAGGGCACCGGTGCCACTCTTCCCCTGATGAAGAGGCCAGGGCAGGGCCATCAGGCTCCTCCTTCCTGGCTCAGAGCATTTAGGGGAAGGGGGTACCCACCATAGTGCGGGATCGGGAGACGAGGGCCTTGCTGGCATCTGAGTCACGAACAAGAGGCTCAGTGGCAAGGAGATTCTGCAGGTACTGGTCAGGCAGCGAGACAAGGTGAGTCAGCTCCAGCAGCTCCGGCAGGAACTGGGCTCGGGATCCTGGGTCGTGGCGTACCCAGCGCAGTACAGCCTCAACCAGGCTCCTCTCCTCCTGCACCTGCAGCTGGTCATTGGAGAGGTAGACAGCCAACCTCTCCTTGGAGAGCTGGAGGAACTCCTCCTGAAGAGAGACAGCTTCAAAGTTCTCCTGCAAGAAAGACCAGGCCTTGGAGGAGACCTCAGGGCAGCCGTGGCTCTCACCAAACTCACAGATACCTAGGCAGTTGGTGGCGTCCATCTGCTGCCGGAGGTAGCGGCTGCAGACCTTCTGGATAGCAGGGAAGTGGAGCTGGCTGGAGGTCCTCATCAGCCCCTCCACGTTGCCCTGGTTGATGGTAACCTTTCCCGTGTAGGCAAAATCAAGCAGCATCTCCAGCGCACCGGGGTCTACTTCCTTTAGCTCCACCCGTGCTGCGATGCTCTCAGCAAAGTCACCGGAGAACATGGCATAGAAGTAGTGGCTGCAGAGGGCCAGGATGCCCCGGTGGCAGGGAAACTCCCGCCCGCCCGCCACCAGCGTCACGTCGGCCAGTTTGGGATTGCTGCGGAACTGTTGCAGCCCCTCCAGCACGCCCTGGGCGTGCGAAGGCAGGCAGAAGTCAAAGTCGTCCATGTTCCTCACCATGGTGCCAGGGATGGCCGTAGGGCCTGGCAGGCGGGCAGTGCCCGAACAGCGGGAGGCGAGGGTGCCCCTGCTAGGAAAAGGCGACGGTGTCTCCCTCTCCCCCTGCCGCGACACCCTCCCGCCTTCCCAGCGCCCGAGTCATGGACAGCAGCGGCTGCACAAGCTCTTCCCACAGCCCCCCTCCCACGGTGGCCGTGTTTTCTCCTCACCACGCCGCAGCTGCCCTGCCGGGATGGCGACCGGCTTTTTGGGGATGATTCTCGGGGTGATTTGAGCCCTCTCGGCGCGGTCGCTCCCGCTCTCACCACTGCTCCCCAGCCCGGCCGGCCCGCGGGAGGGAAGGGAGCGCGGTCCCGGCGCTGGGCAGGGACACGCCGCATGACACGGGATCAGCCGGGACTTGGGGCACTCGCTATTTTTAGGCGGCACCTGGACACTGCTCCCTGCTCTTAAAGGCACCGCACGGGCAGAGCTCCATCCTTGTCATTTCCCCATCCCGCGGTGCTGTTGCCTTTAGGAAAACCTCCCCCTCTCGGTTGGGCACCGAGCCCGGACGGACAGGCTCCCACAGCACCCTCCGTCCACCCCATCGGCAGCAGGGGGTCCCCGCCGTGCCCCTGCTGGCTCCCCCGGCTCGCACGGCCGGTGCCGCTATAAATATAGGTCGTTATCTCACTCCGCGGCAGCCGAGGCCTGAAACACCCGCCCTGGGGCAGGGGGAGCTGGGGTGCTGAGGCGGCCCGCCTAGCTCAGCAGCTTTCTTCACCGCCCCGGAAAGCCTCGCTCAGCTGGGACAGAACCGAGAAGGTTTTTATTGCAGCCCGCGGCCTCCGAAGCCCCTCGGCATCACTCCTCAAGGCTGAAGATCTCGGCCTCCTTCTCCTTCCAAAAGGCGAAGCTGCGATCGATGTAGCGACAAATCTCGTCCCCCTCCTCCCCGGCCTGTCCCGGCCGCTGGGCCGGGCTGTGCAAAGTCCCGAAGTACCGTGCCTTGATGTCGTCGAAGCCGTCGCGCCAGCCGCGCCGCCCCGCCGCGATCTCGTCGATGACGGCGCGGTGGAAGGCCCGCACTGCCCGCCAGCCGTGCCGGCCCAGCTGCTCAAACACCTCGAAACAGAGCAGGTGGCGGCCTCGGCGCTCCTCGGGGGACAGGTCCTGCTCCAAGATGCGGAAATAGCCCAACATGAATAATTCCAGCGACAGGCTGTCATACTCGACCGGGCCGCCCCCCGCCGCCGACACGAACTGCTCCGGGGAGAGCAGGGTGCGGGTGGGGGGCGGCGGCGGGGGGCGGCGGGAGGCAGCATCCCGCCAGCCGCTCAGCAGCCTCTGGATGGCCGCTCTCTGCCGCGCCAGGCGGGCCGCCGCCTGGGCCCCGCTCCCCGCTGTCTCCCGAGGGTCCCCGGCGGCGGGCCGTAAGGGCGCGTAAGCGGAGCGTCTCCAGTGGCTCAGGAAGAGCATCACGATCCGTTCCTTCCTCAAGCTGCCCCACTCTGGCCCCGGCCCCTTCCCCTGCCTCGGGGAGCCGCCGCCGCCGTCGGAAAACGCCTCCTCGCAGCTGATGCCCGAGTCGCTGGCGGCCTCTGCCTCGCCGCCCCTGGCTGGCGCGCTCCCCGCGGCCCCCCAGGCGGGCTCGAAAGCGCCGCGCAAGCTGCGGACGCAGACTCCGCACTGCCGGATCTCCCGCTGTGCCAGGCTGCCCCCGGGCTCCCGGGAATGCCCGCCGGCTGCGGGGAGAGCGGAGGTAGCGGCGGGCGGGGAGGCGGCAGTGCTGGGACCTCGCACGCCCTCGGCGTTGCCCAGCAGTGCGGCCAGGCTATTGACGGCGCCGGCCAGACGGCCGAACCAGAGGGGCAGGGGCTGCCCCGGAGCAGGCGGGGGGCTGCGGACGGAGATGCTGAGCAGCGGGGCGGGCAAGAGGGCGCGTAGCTCCCGCACCAGGCGCCGCAGCTCGCTCTGGTACACCTCGCCGCGCCGCCGCAGCCGCAGGCTCTCCACTGCCCTCTCCAACTGATGCAGGTCTGTCTCAGTCAGCAGCTCCCCGAACGGGCCCAGCACGGCTTGGTGGGAAGGCGAGAAGCTCCAGGAGCCTGCATCCTGCGGAAGAAGCTGTCAGCCACTTCCGACAGCCCGCGCCCCCTCTGCTCCCCGTGCCCCTTGTACCTGCCCTCCCGCCGGGTCCTCGTTCGCCAGTCGGGCCCGCAGCCGCCGCACCATCACTTGCCGCTTCCACTCGGGGATGAGCCGGCCCCGCTCATCGTGCGTGGGCACCAGGGATTCCGCGTCTACCTCCGCGGGGTCCGGCCCGGGGGGCTCCACCGGCCCGGGCGCCCCGTCCTGTGCGGATAGAGTCATGGGGAGTTCGAAGGGGTACGGCCGCCGAGGGGACGAGCCGGGGGCCGCGGGCCGAGCCAGCGACCTACCGAGTGGGCGAGGAAAGGCGCCGGGATCCTGGCCCGCTGCGAGGGCTTGCGGAGCTTCAGCTCCGCCGGCACCGACCTGCCGGGCTCCATCCTGGGGGAGGGCAGCAAGGGGTGGTGGGCCCCAACACCTCCAGGGCCCCCCCCAGCTGAGGGGTGACCCGACACATCACCCCGGACCTTGGGGATAACCCTCCTCAGTGACAGCCACGAGTGGATCTGATTCCTTCAGAGGACGGGACGGAGCTGAGGAATCCCTGCTGCCCGCTGTCCCCCTGCAGCCAAGGACTGAGCCCAGGGCCACCCCATGCCCGCCAGCCCTTCTCTGGGCATCCCATGCCCCCCAGCCCGTCCTCCCGCTCCCTGGGGTGACCGGCTGGCATGCTTCGGGGATGGGGGTGCCCAGTGCCCCAGACCCAGTGGGGTCTTACCTGCTACAGGGGGCTGAGCTGGCTGCTGAAGTTAGGGGGTCGAGTCCTGTTGTGGCCTGCTCAGGGAACATCCAAAGGTGGTGTGGCTGCACGCCTAAAGTCCCTGTGTGGGAAGCAAGGAGCAATACGGGACAGGAGGGGAGGATGGAGTGGTCGGGCAGCCCTGGAGAGCACAGGGGCCACGGCTGCAGTGCTGGGGCAGGGCACAGAGGCATTGAGCATTGTATTAATATTTGATGGGGCATCGAGTGGCAGCACCTGGGCTCAGTAGGTCGAACTGGCGCCGTTCCTGGAGATAGTGGCTTGGTGACTTGGCTCCAAGCCTTGTCCTGCTCTTGGGGCCAATGGAGAATGGCCGAGGCTGGTCATGGCCCCAGGCCAGGTGCTGGGGACAGAGGAAGCATCTTGCACAGGGGCACTGAGGGCAGGTTCTGGCAGTGGGGGATGTTCAGCAGGGGATTCTGCTGCACCACTGCCTGGGCATCGGTTACTGGCATTCAGCCATATTCGTGTTCTTTCCCTCCACCACCATCCATTATATATGGCTAGGATGGACTCGTGGTGCTCACTTACATGTGAGAAATTCAATCGAGGGGCTGGAATAAAATTAAGAAGCAGCAGATCTAAGCCTATAAACACCGATTAGCTGGTGAGGATCCATTACAGAGTCAGCCTCTCAAGCCTGCCTGGCTCCAATGCCGGCTGACTCCCAGCTGTCATGGGGAGGATGAGCTTCTGCTGCCCAGCAATAGAGCCACAGCGTGAGCACAGGTTATGCTTTGCTGTAGAAGGAGGGAGTTTGCTGAAAGCACTTTTGCAGAGCCCAGTGCCAGGGTTGTCTCTCCCAGCCTGGAGAGTTTCTCCCGGGATTGCAGCTCTCCACAGTGCAAGGGTGTGCAGGAGCATGAGAGGAGAGGAGGTTTTGCCCTAAACCTCCATCCCTGCCTCTTTTCTCACCCTGTTCCTCAGGAAGGCAGGCACTGCTCAGGGAGTCTCAGGGGACTCACCTTTTCCTTTTCCTTTTCCTTTTCCTTTTCCTTTTCCTTTTCCTTTTCCTTTTCCTTTTCCTTTTCCTTTTCCTTTTCCTTTTCCTTTTC